GTGGCCGTTTGCTGTTTTATGGGTTTTTCCCATTTGCCTTTTAAAATTTATATATATATATATATTACCTGTACAGCCTCGAGGAATAGGTGCGTTATACATGCCGTCCATACACACTGCAGCAACAGCTATATTTGGTATCAACTCATAGCCATCAGTATCACATGCAAATTCCACTGTACTGTTATGTGTGAAAGACCCTGTAGCTTGTACTCCATCGATCAAAAGCGGAGCACAGTTAGCTGAAAAACAGACATTGTATCAACTGATATGCTTAATTGCATATCATGTAAACTTCATCTGATAAAATCACATAATTACACAATTATAATTACTTTGTATTATAGACAATATTTTATATATCCTGTATTTATTATCACATTCCATATTCCGATTCTAATACATGCATTTACTTATTAATAATTTTGGTATAAACCAAAATGGACAAATCAGCTTGACCAAAAAACTACATGTGAATACTCTTCATAATTTCACAAAAAACACATGGTAAAACATAATTATAGTTCTTGTTAAAATTCCTAACCAGTTTTAAAAATAGAAAATTCAACATTTTTTTTCACCATACATAAACAAATAAAATACTCACACACAAGTTAAGAATGCGATGAATTAAGTAATGAGAATTATTTGGATTGGATTGGATTTATTCGGTGTAAACACCAAGGATAGCCCACGAAAGTCTAGAAGACTTATTTCCAGTGGGGTCCTTCAGGTGGTGATTGGGCAGTACACCGGGAGACAATCCCCTACTCTTTCCCGAAGAGTCTACTGCATTCTTTAACATGCACATGGGCCATAAAAGCACACGGAACCAGCGGCTTAAACGTCTCATCCGAAAGACGGTACACTATTGTAAATTGTATTTCAGCCCTCTAAGCTGAAACACAAGTAGAGGCAGCGATGGGAATTGAACCGGGGACCTAGAGATCGGTTCAGCGCACACACAGTGGCTGCTGTCTGCACATTTATTGTATAATATTAGAACTCACTACATACCATGACACTCAGGAAAGTGGAAATTTCCATTTAGGCATTTACTGACCGACTGCCCAACTAATGTATACCCATCGTCACAAAAATATGTCACATTCTCTCCAGATTGAAAATTATATTTTATGCCTCCTACTATGACATTATCTGGAATTATATCTGGATCATATGAGCAAACACCTGGTAGAAAATGTAAAACAAAAACCATATCATTTCAATAGTCATCAAAAA